TAACTATTAAAAACTTGTTATTGTTTTTTTTTTAATGTGAAAAATATAATACGTAAATGGTAAGAAATCAAACATAATTTCTAAAAGTTAAAAGCGAAATTACCATGAATTTGAAAAAAAATTATACATGATTCCAGTTTCTCGACATCTCACACTAATTTGAAAAAAAATTGAAAATTCAAACTCTCATATCCCTAATTTGTTTGTACTAAAAAAGAGAAGAAGATGGAAGAACTCATCTTGAACGGTACTAATAAAATAAACGTCTTTTTTTTTCTTGTTTTGGGAGAGAAAGTAAGTAAGAAGTTGAAAAGGAAAAAAGAAAGAAAAGAAAATTGGAATTATGGAGAAATGTTGGGGTTAAAAATGGAAATGGGGAAGAGAGAGATATTTTAGGTGATGGGGATTGTGGAACAATCAAAGGCCATAGCAAAATTTGGTATGTGATTTTTTATTGTCTTCATTTGGAAAACTTCACTATCTTAGCTTTCAAATTGGAATCTCTCTCTATCTCTCTCTCTATTCTCCATTTTGTGTGTGTTGTTTCATGTGCTGGTTTGGGTTCCCCCATGTTCATGTTCTCTTCAAACATGAACATCAATTCCCAATGGGACCATTCAATTTTCAGACACAAATTTTTTTTGCAAATTTTGAGGTCACAAAATAAAACAAACTACTACCATCCTTATCAATTCTCCATAATTGGTGTTTGCATTTTTATTTTGCCCAAGAGTTTCAGTTGCTCTTTTAACTCTCGATTTTGATGATAACAAATATGACTTCTGCACCACTAAAAAGTGTTTTTACTCGATTAATGAGGGAGGAGGACGTCGATCTAACAGAAAATATTTGGCTTGTTGAGAAAGTTGCGGAATTAACGGAAGCGAGAGGAGTTGTTTCGATCGTCCACATCAACAGATGGAAGAATTTAGTGGTCCACGAATTGGCGAGGAGAGCGACGCACAACGATGGGGAAGAAGGATGAATTTCTAACTTTCCTGCTTGGATTCAAGATGTAGTTGCAAGTGACTTTTCTTCGTTTTAGTTTTATTAAGGCTTATTTCAAAAAAAAAAAAGTGTTTTTACCCTGTGAGTTTGTGATGACTTTTAATTAAATTAAAATGGTATCGGTTAGATAATTAAGAGTGATTTTGTAAATTCTAGAAATGCTATGATGGGTATGTATGAGATAGCCCAAATCAATTTTGACTTTTCTAAAATCATTAGTATATCTTTGTAAAATATTGCTATTTTAAATGGGAGTGGTTTTGGATAAAAACAACTTGGTGCTTGTAAGAAAAATACTTGGCATCAGCGGAGTTAACAAAATCTTGTTCATTTCCTAAAGGCCGTCAAATGGTTGAATCATCCATTCTCACATTGCTGTACTAAAAAAATACACTTAATTAGTAAGGGTTGAATGATTTAATGAAAATATAATTGTATTACATGTGTTTGGTAACAGATTTAAAATTGAATTTCAATTTAAAAGAAACGAATTTGGTAAGCCATTGGTTACCAACTAAATATTTAGTTTAATCAAAATATTATTAATCAATTAATTAACATAAATGTTATAAATTCTATTAGAGTCATATTTTACATTTTATATTATATAATTTATAATATATTACATTTTATATTTTTCAATTTTAACAAAAATGATGAGATGTGTTTATAAAATAAATATTGTATTAACAAAAGTTTTAATATTAAATTTCCCCTATTTGGATTACTTTGAATTCTCTACCAAACCGGGCATAATTCTTCCAACAGTGCCAAAGAAGTATTTTTTACCCTAAAATATTTCTTTTGATCAAAAGCCATCTCAAAAATTCATTCTAAATCCAAATCATGAATACCTTTATCCAAATATTCACGCAATATGTTGATTGGACAAAATAGCGACGATGAGACAAAAAATAATAGGCTAACGAAATAAAATAAGATGGACTAGTAAAAAATTGAATGAGAGGAGTGGGTACAACACATCTTAAACCAAAATTTTTAACCAAAAT